TTGGATCCCACCACGTCAATATGTTGCTCAGCAACGCCATGANGAACCAAGACACGTGTCTCGATGGTTTCACAACAAGTGACCATGAATAGCAATGATAGGACGTTTGGGTTGGCTGATAACTTGAAGGAAATCATCTTAAACATTTCTAATTATCTCGGTAACTCTTTGGATATGCTTCAGAAGCTTCTGGCGAAGAAACATTCTTCAAAAGCTTATGATGTTGACGTTGAGTTCCCGAGTTGGGTCTCAAACAATGACAAGAGACTCATTCACGGTTTGGTGTTAGGGACCAATTTCAATCTCACGGTGGCAAAAGATGGTACAGGAAACTTTACGACCATTAGTTCCGCCGTCTCAGCGGCTCCTAACTCGAGCGAAACCAGGTACATAATTTATATCCCAACGTATAGTAAACATCAACATTAACATTTGAATTCTTTTTCTTTCTTTACAAATATTGATACGAAGCTTCTTCTGTTTAAAGAAGTTATTTGAATTGAAGAGATTGATAGTAATTGGTGGTGTTAGATTGAAGAAATGATTTTTACCAACCATATAATTATGCTGAAAATCTTTATTTTGACCAATCATATATGTTGAAACATTTTATTTTTATTATTTAGGGTGAGTAATACTATAAATGATAAAACATTAAAAATGAAAAGCACCATTCTATATTTCCTAAGTTATTCATAGGTATGATATTAGTTACCAAATTTTGGGTATAGGTTTATGATTTATATTAAAAAAAGTTTATGATTTATATAAAATATGGAGAATAATACCATTTTACGCCATTTTCCAAGTTATTTATAGGTCTGGAATTAGTTACCAAATTTCGGGTAAAAATTTATGATTTATACAAAAGATAGGGAATAACACGTTTCTACGTCATTTTCCAAGTTATTTATAGATCTGAAATTAATTATCAAATTTTGGGTAAAGATTTACAATTTATATAAAAAGTGGAGAATAATATTATTCCAAGTCATTTTCCAAGTTATTTATATGTCTGAAATTAATTATCAAATTTTGGGTATAGATTTATGATTTATATAAAAGGTGGAGAATATTATGAGAATGTGGAAATACCGAAGAAGAAGACAATGATAATGTTCGTCGGAGACGGTATTGGAAAAACCATCATCAAATCAAACCTGAGTCGTCTTGATGGATGGACAACATATCGATCTGCTACCGTTGGTTAGTATTTTTTTTTATATTAAATTACTTTTCATTCTCTTGGGTTTGCAATGCTAAACATTATTTGCTATAGCTATTCTTAAATAATCAATTAAATAACTCTTTAAACAAAACTATTAAGCTTTTAAAGTGGTTCGGTAAAATAGTGATTCGGTCTACTAGTTTAACCCATTCATTTTGGCCCATTACAACAATACTAGTAACCAATAACGATTATAATTTGACGACGTCTCTTATAGACTGATACCAAATATATCTTGAGCCCAAATAAAATCTAAACTTTGTTTGTTTTCTTCATCTTCCTGTGCTTGTAGTGAAAGAGTACCAATTATACAAATTGTTTATGCAGGTGTGAATGGTAATGGTTTTATAGCTAAGGACATATCATTTGTGAATTTTGCCGGACCGAGTAAACACCAAGCCGTGGCATTGCGAAGCAGCTCTGATCACTCTGCTTTTTACTGATGCGCGTTTGAAGGTTGCCAAGACACTCTTTATGTCCATAAAGCTACACAATTCTATCGAGAATGCGATATATTCGGTACCGTCGATTTTATATGCGGTAATGCGGCTGTTGTATCCCAGAATTGTAGTCTTTATGCTCGCAAACCAAATCTGAACCAAAAAATCGCATTCACCGCTCAAAGTCACAATGAATCGAAACAACAAACTGGTATTTCTATGATTAATTGTCGAATCTTGGCCGCGCCTGATTTGATCCCTGTGAAAGCAAATTTTAAGGCGTATTTGGGTCGACCATGGAAATTATTTTCTAGGACGGTTTTGATAAAATCGTTTATCGACGATTTGATTGATCCTGCCGGATGGTTAGAGTGGGAAAATGAGGTTGCACCAGAAACGTTATATTATGGAGAATATATGAATGAAGGACCCGATGCGAACATGACAGACCGAGTCAAATGGCCCGGATATAGACGCATTGAAAACGCATCGGAGGCAGCAAAGTTCACCGTTGTTCCGTTCATAGAAGGTAACACATGGCTTAATTCTACCAACATCCCATTTAATCTCGGTTTCTAATCGTTAAATTTGGATAATAATGAAGTAAAGTTTTGTAAGTTGTAACCACCGTATTGGATCGTAAACATGGAATCAAAGTCATTTTATGTTACTTGTGAAATGAACATTCTAGTCTAAAATATTGAGAGTGGAAAAGATGGTTCATACTTTATAAGCATATATAATGAAATTAAACTATAATATAGTCAAAGAAGCTGATATATTAGTTCTTGAAACGTCGTCACAACAGAAATAAAGTTTGTTCTCTAATTGCCAGTTTGATCAAAGTACAGTGCAAGAAACAAAGAAACAATGTTGAAAAAAGCCAGACAAATGATATGTTCTCACAGGATCTGAACCGCTTGTGATATTCGATACCTCGAAAATTCAATAGAAGAAACCAAGAACCTGACCACCCACATTCCTTTTAATAGCTTCTTCATGATCCAAAATGCCATCAGGAGTTGTAATGACAACATAACCCCACTGCATATAACAAGCTAAACAAGGTTAACTTACTGCTACTATTAGTTGCATATTCGGATTAAGGGGTAAAACCGGACCTGGCGTGTTGGAAGTGTGCGTTCTGTGTACTGCCCGATCTCTTTTGCCTTGACGTCTTGCCTGTAAGTGAGAGCTTTGCAATCATTAACCCTTCCTTGCAGATCAACAGTTATTCTTCCTACTCTGTGTGGATCATACACTTGAAAATTCTTGATGTAACCTACACATAAACAGTTCATTTTGTAAAGTACTCAGAGAAAAATGCCCAATTCTGCAACCATGAAGATACATATTTGAGCATATCAACTTTTAAAAGAACTTGTCGTAAATCTTGACTAAGGATAAATCAAAACAAGATAAGTATACACAGACCAAAATCGATACAATCGTAAATTACACCAATAGACATGGAAAAGGAGCAGACATACATTTCTCCAATCAAAGATCAAAATGTGAATTACCCATAAGAGTAAAAAAAAAACAGAAAATTTCTATCGTCTGCAACTTCACTTTCAACCAAGAACAAAAGGTTTATTATTTTTGGACAATGTTACCAGAGAGATCACACAATGCAACGCTTGAGCTATATTGGTTAAGTGTCAGATCAAGCACTTCAAACAAAGCCCATAAGTTTCATGAACTAATTTTATCATACAGAACCACAATCAAGTGAACCTAATGTCGATCGAAACTGATGAATCAAAACAAATAGATCTTGGAAATCCTGGATAAATCAATCAATACCCAATTGACCCAGAAGAAAGAATCATTGAAGCAAGAAGGAAAAATCTAACCTTTTTCTTTCATGATTCTGAGAAACGAAGACATTACAGTAGAGACAGGCTTCAATTCCACCGAAGCTTTCCCTCGTTTCTCCGCATTCACAATCGTCCTCAACGCATCGTTCAATATCCTCCTCCCCATTTCTCTCTCAGATCGAAATTGTATAATCGAATCAAAGGATCTAAAACCCCCAACTTCTTCATTTCATAGAAACAAAAGGGTTTTCATTTTATTCAAATGTGGCATTCTCGTTATTTTTTTCTATGGTTAGGGGTATTTTAGTCTTTTCTCGTAGACTTCACAGTCACATGAACTAGGGTTTAATTTTTCAGAGGTCATATATAAATAGCTCGATCGTCTTCTCACAAAGCTCCGGCGCCACCATTAAAACGCAGTCTCTATTA